GAGAGTAGACGGATCTTACGGGGCAAGAGAGAGACTTTGATAGGACCCAGGGAAGGACTACGTAACAATACGACAGATTCTGGTCAACATTCCCAGCATAAGGGTTATGGTGAAGGGTTTTCTTGAATGCCACTCAACAGGGACACGGGACTAGGTACGTTTCTCAAGGTCTCCCTCATGCTCTGACCAAGTTGAGAAGACAAGATCGAACCAACATTGTAAGGCTAAAGCAGATTGCGACCAAACAGGTCTTCGTATATACGATCTAAGACTAGTTATTTTTGTTTTATATTATATGTGTATATAACACGTAATGAATAGCCGGACAGTTTTCACAGCCTAGTGTTAATTTGATACTTTGGCAAGGATGCGGTTCCAGCCATTTCGTAAACTCAGCACAGTTCCACGTGAAACGAGGGAGAATGTGCTGTGGACTGCGTCAACCCGAATGTCGTATTAAGTCCAATCGGCTGCAGAAGAAAGGAGAGAAATCGTCGTCTTCTGTTAGGAGCGACGTATGAATCTCTTCATCTCGCAGTTTCAAACAAAATAAAAGTTTTCACAACAATTTTGTCACAGGAGATTCATCGAAACCCACTTTTTCTTCATACATATATCGCTCACTTCGTTGCAGTCGACCATATAGACTTTAACCGTGCCCGTATCTTGCGAATCATAATAAAAAGCCACTCCATCTGGCAGGAGTTTCGACGAAAATACGAATAATTTTCTGTCAGTGAATCTTGCATATAGTAGAAAAAGTCGTCTGGAAGACTGTTCTAACTTGGCCTCATTTGGGTTGTCGATTTGTGTAAATTAGACCTTAGTAAAATCCGAATGCTTCCACATTGACAACTGCAAAGCAATTCTTCTTCGTCTCGACAACTTTTTCGTGTTGCGAATGCAAACTAGATGAACATCCTTGTCCAAAGTCCTCTGCTCTAGTAATTATGACAATTCACAGCCCTGGACTGTGGACTCAGTACCTTTACATATGTCTCTTCTGCATCCTAGTTGGCGTCGTCATAGGGTTTTGACAGTCTTGGTACCAAGCTACAACCTGTCAATAAGACAAGTGAAGTTCATACCTTGGTCAACTTTCTGCTGAAGGATTAGTTTCGGCTTAGTGTTAAGAATGGTAGAACTCACCGACGATGCAGGCGAAACTTTTTGAAATGTATCAAGTCCACGGCTCGAACCCGGAAATTATCATAACAACTATGACAGACGACTTCGGACAAGGGGCGTTCATCATGGTCATCCTGACACCACGACCAGGTTGTGAGAAAGAGGTCAAACCTCTTCTCTTCAGCGAAACCAGACTGCCACCAAAGTAGAGGTTCTCTTACCATTTTAGCTTTCATACCTGACAATGATCCTCCTTCGGTTTTCGCTGGCGCTACCTAACACATCTACTTCATAGATCTTTGAGTTCTGACGGAAAGGAACAATAACATTATCTGTCAAACATTTATCATCCAACCACTCTAGTATGATTTATGCATACAGATGTTCTGGTGGAAGAGCCCGGCACAGCTTCAGGCTCAAGTGGCCCATTCCTCGTAGAACTTTACTATTTTTAACGAATCTACGCGTTTACCTCTTGATGTTTGAAGCCCGAAAATTAATCAAAGATTTTGTAGAATGTGGAAAATTTGCAATATTTTGAGACCATCGTGTCTTCTTCGGACAAGCTTTCGTCTCCAGGGCGACAATGACCACGAGAGTGGAGTCAAGCTGGATTTTGTCGGCTCTTCTTCGGAGGAGGGACCGGTTGGCCGTGAGCTAATCCTGCAAACAGGTCCATCCGGACTGAATTGTCTGTTTGTTTAGTTTGCGTCGCTTCTTCACGCTTTAATTTGCATCGACATCCTGGTCTTGATTTCTCTCCAAATCTTTTGCTCTTTCTTTCTCGTGCTACCCCTTACTTTCCCCCATACAGCATACAGCATACAACAGGTCAACTCCACCCTCTGACTGCATATACAAGAGGAATTAAGCCCAACACGCAAGTGGAATGTACAGGTTGAGGCAGAATTGGAAAAGACTCAAGCTGATTGCCTTTTCGGGCCACTTCCAGCTTCATACGTTGGTCGGTCGGTCGGTCGGTCGGTCGGTCGGTCAGTCAGTCGGTTGAGGAGGAGCTGAAGCCTGGGCGTCCGGACACGTAAACCGGACAACCACGGTTAAAGGTGTGGCGTAGGCCTGCGTGTTGGGGGTAGGAAGACCCCCTTGGTCATGGTTTCAGGTCAGCCCCAGGCAGGACCATGGGGAGAGGCTAGTCTGGATTGTCTTCTGCATGCATTTATTTATAGACCTCCGTGTTACGGTGTTATCAAACAGTTGCTCAGCTGGGCGTAATTAAGCGTAAACAGGTCTTTCTATCCGTCCATCTGGTCACTTTCCGCTCTTGCCATCCTTGGCCATCTACCCGCCCGTGGACGTCGGTGCCTATGCGTGTCTGCCTTTTGGACCAATCTATTCATACAATCTGGCATCTACCGGGCGACCTATTTATCTACCGGCCTGCAGACATCCGAATATTTGCACATTTGCCCGGCCTTAACTACTACATGCATACTTGGTACATCATTACCCTTCTTTTTGAGCCCAAATCAATGTCATGTAGTTCTATTGCATCGTTACTACAATTTTGTTTATTATGCTATTATATTTTGTATGATTAATATGCTTGCATAGACGTTTATACTGACCGCCTGGACATGAATACCGCGACCAATGCAACCCATTTGCTCTTGCCAAGCAGATTATCACCTCCCACCTCTTCTATACCCATTTTAAACCTTCTGAACTCATGTGTTCACATTTCGTGATGCCCAACCCTTTCACCTCCTCATGCACACTTATTGACTTGACTTGATAACTTATCAAATGCTACCGGCCAAAGAGGCGTCGGGGTTTAGGAACCAGAGACCATTTTTCATACTTATTTTTGATATTAATTGTTTTCGCGAGCGTAAATTTCGTATCTTTCCGGTGATCCACTGACATCCGTGGCCAAGTAGAATAGAGGATCAACGTCACCACGATACTCACAATTCAAATCGAATATCGTTGGGGAGGCTGATGATACCTGGGGGAGGTTGTTGTTCCAACCAAACCTGTAGAAGATATATATTTTTGGGAAGCAAGGTTAAATGTAATTCAATGAATTCGGATAGCAAACTCATCTGATTGTGGGAAAACTCTAATATAAGTCCTTAAATCACCTTAACCGAACTAGGCTGACTAAGCATTTATTTCATATATATTATTCTATTCAAGTTTGCTGGAACCTCAGCTCGTAGGCGTAAAAGCTGTTGCCAAATTTCATCGAGCATGAAAATGTAGGAAATAATCAAAAGGGAAGAGCTAGAGAGATTGGGATAAGACTAGGAAAGAGGACTGGATAATAATAAAGCAGACTCTGATCAACATTCCCTGCAAAGGAGAAAGGATGTGGGGTAAGAACGACAGTTGGAGTGTGAATTTGTCATGTCGCTCAAAGGAGCACACCACACTATATCCAAATAAACACGGTAAAAATTTTAATAGTGAAGGCATGATAGGATGCTACCGGAAACACGAATAACCCAGGGCAGAAGGGGAGATACCAAAATTTTTTAGCACACGTTGGATCAAAGGATCGGCTTCACTTGCCTCTTTGACGTGTTGTTGTGTGGTACTAGGAATGGTGATACTCACTGACGAGGCCGACTACGATGCCGGCGAAACGTCTGGGAATGTACCACGTCCACGGTCCTTCTCTTGAAATGATCATGCATGCAATGGGCTCTGGACTAGGTGGGTTCCTCTAAGTCTTCCTACCAATATGACCATGTTGCGAAAACAAGGTCAAACAATCTCTATACAAGTAGATCTGATTTAAAAGTTATAATTACCCTATCTTGTTTGGAGTGATGAAAGACTGGTAGTTGAATTTTCACACAATCATATGAATAGACCTCAGGCCCCCTTTAACTTTCACAATGCCTTGCTTTCCAAAAGGTATTCTAACCCAGCTAAGCTCGCCATTTCGACCTCGCTTTGGCCTCTTCAGCACTCTCAGCGGGACTCGAACTCAGGTTATGGTAGTGCAGCCTATAATCCAGACACATTAGCCACTCCGCCAGACTGCCAAAATCGCCCTTGGATGACAAAGCAGATATGCATTTCAAGAAATGCCAGGCTTTTTCTCATATCACATTTATCTGGTGGGATTTTTGACAAATCAAAGTTTTATTTGATATAGTAATCGACTATATTATAAATGTTTAGTTTCATATGTAGGCTTTCGGGACTGGCAGTTGATATGATATAATAGCTGTATTCACCCAATCAAATAAATGTGATATGGGAAAAGCTTGGGCCTCCGTGAAATTCCCTTCTGTCCTGTCACCCAAGGGAATTCAAATTAGGGCGGCTTAATAGTTATTTTGTCGAGAGTACACGCGGAACTACGGCAACCGGAGCTTGTGTCTCGCAAGGGGGTGCTGATGAAACCTAGGCGAGGTCTTAAATTGCAGTCTACTGTGGAGGATAATATCTTTTTGGAAGCAGGGTATTGTGATATTCAATGGAAACATGAGGCCCACTAATATAATTGTGAGAAAATTCAGCTACCATTCCTTCATCATCTTAAACGAAATATGATGAAATGTTTTACAACACATAATTGCGAGAATACCATCACGAGACAGGAAAAGGGTTTAGCACCATGAGGCGTAGGCATACTCGCTCACATGGGTCGACAAGAGTGTGAAAAAAGTGAGAAGAGACAGCTTGGAATATGAATGACATAAACTATGATAGTAATAATACTAATACTAACAATACATGTTTGATCTCAAAAAGCGTTAATTTGGCATTTCAGTTTGCCAGGTAAAGATAAACCCTGCGGATGGTCGTTTTTGAAAGGTGGTCTTGGATGAGGAGGGAAATTGTTGAACTCAAGAATTCGCAGAGTCCATGAGACCTCTTTCCCACTCCTTCTCATGCATGGGAAACACTAGGTTTGGGGCTCTATCTTAAAGGGTCATTAAAACCCGGCCTAATTGGAGTAAGGCGGATAAGAGAGGGTGTCTTTTGAAGAGCAAGTTAAATAAACAAAATCTTGTGGTATTGTTCTTACTGGACGTTTAGCAAGTTCTGATAGCGGTTTATGAATAGGAGAAAGAAAGAACAGCCAGTTGTGTCAGGGTCTGACACCTCCGAAACACGAAATCTGCTGCTCAATCAACTATTTCCAGAAGTGCGTCTGCAATATGGGAAAAATTATAGTTTGGGCCATTCTAAATTTTTTCCATGGATGAGTAGATTTTCGAGTCTTGGGATGTTGATGAGACTTATGCGAGGTCAAAGCTGCAGTCAACCCTGAACGAGAACACCTTTCGGGAAAGCAGGTCTATATGAAATGCAATGGAATACATCCATTCTAGTCATATCATTGTGCGAAAGTTCAACTACCAGTCCTTAATCACCTTAAACGAAATAGGGTGAAAAAACTCATTGATTGCTGTTGAGGGTCACTTCAACCTAATCATGCTGTGGATATATTGCGGTACAACCATTTACCTAATCTAGAAACACAATTGTAGAGCTAAATTCTGACTTCTGACTTCACGATCTCACAAAAGTGAGCTAGAAAATTGGGGTAG